GACAGTGCATGCCTTACCAAGTCATTGGATGTGATCAAAGAAAGTTGGGAAGTGTAGGGATGAACCTTGAGGTACAGTTTTGTCCTGTAATTATTTTTGTTATTATTTTCAATTGACTTTCAGTTGCCAATGTCATTTATTGTCTGTAGAAATGATTGAGGGATTATGAAATTCTATAGAGCATTTTAAATCAAAGAATATTTAATTATTAGTTGGAAGATTATTTGATTCATGTCCCAAATGAATTTGCAATTATTAAGTGGAAGATCAGGTCCTTGCCTCCCTTGATATTTATGCAGTAATTGTTGCCTATACTTTTTGAGCATCCATTTATTCATAGATTGTGTTGTGTGGTGGAAATTTTGTATCTCAGCTATATCATGGAATACTTTATCTGCTATTTTAGTTAGAGACTTGTGAAGATTTATTCTCATTCCAATTTTGCAATTCTGCTATTTGGAATTCTAAAGAAGTGGAATTATTGGGGCCCTAATGGAATTTTACACAATTTGCATGATCTTGATGAAGTATAGTGCAATGAAATTAGTGATGCTAGATATTATATAGACAGATATGGATGAATTATGTTCAGAATCATTAGTCTTAGAATTTATTTAGTCTAGAATATTTTAATTTAATATGTATTATTTAAGACTTGAAAATCAATTGAGTTTAACGATCATATATGCATGTTATTAAAATATAGATTTTAAAATTAGTATGTTTAATATAATTTCAATAATGTTTATCAATTGTATAAAAAAAAAAAATGTTTATCAATAGCTTAATTCAACAAAAATGAAAAGAAATTGTTTTCAAGAATTCAACCAAACAAGTTTGCAAATTTTAAAGATTATAAAACAGTTTCAAGTTCTATACCAAACAAGTTTTTGAATCTTAAAAAATGGATTTGAGAACTCCTTATTTTTTAAAATAATCAAAGTTTTTGAGTTCCCTATTTGAATGGAATCCAAGGACGACTGCTTTGGGCCTCAGAATAAGGGAGGCTAAAATTTAAGGCTCATATTATAAGTGTTTTCTTGAGAGAAAGATACAATGGCTCAAATGAAAATCACTGCAAATTCTTTAACAATACAATAGCATGCATGTATAAAATAAATAAATAAAGAAATGGCCCTCATTTTTTCTTTTTTTGTTTAAACCACTCAAATAAATAGTATAAATCAACTCACAAATTATTACCAACTAGTCTTTGGTTTAATGGTATTCGCCTCAATTTAATTGGAAGAGATTTGATCATGTTCGTCTCACTTGGATAGCGACAACTTTATATATATACAATTATTCTCCCATCATGCTGTCTGCACGTTATTATCGTGCGTATGCCATTGTAAACATGGAGGAACTCAGGGAGGGGTAGTAGAAAATGCATGGCGTCTGCACGATAATATCGTCCGGATGTCCCCAGAGGAGAATTTCTGTATATATATACAATCAGTCATACACAAATCAAGCTATATATATATATAGTGAGCTTCTATTGAGGGATCCCTCAAATAAGCTTATTAGGGTTCACTTGAGGAAGTTAGACATAATGTCCCTGAATAAGAATATCTTGTATAATATACGAAGAGACTTCAAACCATTCAAAGTGATCAAGGCAAACACAGCATGCCTAGCAGTTGGAAATAAATTTTTAAAACAGCACAAAATAACTTGGTGTGTGAACAACACACTATATAATGTAGGATTGAAATGTTATTGATAAGAAAGCCAGCAATGAATAGGAAACAAATAAATAAGAATATTAGACTTTAGACAATTCAGGCATCTCACTCTCTATTTCCCTTCAGTTTCTGACCTTATTCTATTTCCACATGGATGGGATATTTTCCGTTATAATGGAAATATATGTACAGAAAAATAATTTCCTCATATTATTGGGAATATAAAGATAAGCTTTGACTAGTGATTAACACGATGCTTAGCCATCACATCTCTCCCATTATCTGATTAATTATAATTCTCTTATTTTATTAAACTTAACCATATGATCTCACACACTCTCTTGCCACTATATAAAATTGGCCCAATCATTTTATTACCTTCTCTTTCATGACCACTTTTCGGTCAAATCATGATTAGAAACTTGAGCAATCTGAGAGATGATGCTAATGCTATCTTACAAGGCTAGATTTTGTTTTATCATAATCTCATGGAAGTGGACTATTCTTTTCTCAATGAGGTCACATTGTAGCACCGTAGAATTCAGTGTTTCTGACTTTTACTTGCTTTTGTTAGTCTGAATAAAGTTCATCTTCTTTATCAGGAATAAATAAATAAAGATTAAGAAGTGTTAATAGGTTCAAAATCGATTAAGAAGTGTTAATCGGTTCAAAATCGATTAAAATGCGGAAATTGAAAATGTTTGGATTTTTCTGAATTTAGAGATCAAAACAACTCTACGGAAGCCATTGAAAAAGAAAAATTCACATTGGATTGGTTGATTTTGGAGGATTATAGACTGGATTTTGAACCCTCCAAAGAAAATCAAAATAAAATTGTACATTTGAATGAACATATTCTACTTATATATCACCTTAATGTCAAAACACTCAAGCTAAACCAATCGATTACAAGACGCAAAGATCAAAAATATAAGTCAAGTTTTGCCAACTCCATCCATCCATCCGATTGATCAGACGTTTTTAATTTTCTATATTCTTTTTAATTTAAGAATTAAATAAACTTTCGTCTATAAGATTTGAAATAAAAAAATACCAACAACCATTATTTATTTATTTTGGTCGAACTATCTATTTCGTCAAACTACGATGCTCATCAACCCTAATTTTCTATTATTCTGTCAAACTTTGATGATCAAACTCCAAATTTTTTTATTGACTCTGATCTGATTTTTCACCTGGACAGAGTGGTCAGCAATACGGCAGCTCAACGGTTGGGATGGAAATTTATAATTCTGGTTAAGATATAATAATTATGTTTAATTGATGAGAACATGTTGGCCTCGCAGTCCTCGCCGTGTGTTTTGTGAGCATGATTTGAAGCATGAAGAAAATTCAAAGATGGTTGAAAAATGCCCGTCTTTTAATATCACAAAATTATTAGTAATTTTTTATTAAAAAAAATTAAGAAAACTAATAAGCCATGCATGTCTTGCGTTGCGCCCGCAAAATATGATGTGATGTATGTGTGTGATATATCTATTGCAATAGTGCCCAGCCTGTTTTAAAGTCAACTGCCCAGACGGTCGGCTATGTTTTGTATATTTTGATATCTCATCTTCATGTTTATATTTAGTCTATTTTCGACCCCACAATTCACGCAACTTTTCTTTGCCCCTTTGTTCTTAGGAAAATAATCCACAATCACGGTGAGTCGTAAATTTAGGGGTTGATGACCATCTCATTTTTCATTTTCACTTTTTTTGAAAATTGAAAACTGAAAACATGTTTGGTAACATATTTCATTTTTAGTTTTCAAAAAGTGAAATATAATTTTCAAAATCACCACTTTTTTTTTTTGGTAAAACAACTTGAAAGTGTTTTTTTTTTTTTTTTTTGCGCTCTTTTTCATTCATTAATTTTACATTACAACACATGAAATATACTCCAGTTACCAAAACTTGGTATTTGAGACCTCCCAACTTCGACCAGCCACTCGATTCTTGCATTTAACCACAGCCCCAATTCAAGCCTTGGGACATCCAGATCCAAAATTCACAAAAAATCGTCTTAATTTCAAAAAAAATCACTAAAAAATACTACAAACTCTTTGTAGCATATGCACTTTCATTCTATAATCTCAAATTCCCAATTTGACAAAAAAAAAATTCATTTCAAAGTTCCTCATAAAATTGAAAATTGAAAACTGAAATCAGTTACCAAACAACTTTTGTTCGGTTTCACTTTTCATTTTTTCTAAAAACTGAAAGTAGTTACCAAACAAGTTTTCAGTTTTTAGAAAATGAAAATTGAAAACTAAAAACTGAAATGGTTATTTCAAAAATACTACCTTATAGGTAAGTATTTTATTTTCGAGAACTAGCTAATCAGCCCACATTAGGTTTGTGAAAGAACCAAGGTGGATAAAATGAGACCTAAGACCTAATCAGTCATTATAATGCTGGAACAAAACAACCATATCTGAAATAAAAAGATGTGATATTTTCATTCAATTTACTACCAGGAATCAGCCAATTTCATACTATATATACATATCTTTATTTGAATTTCTAAACAAAATTATATGGGCTGTCAACTAATTAATTGGCTCAATATATATACATCTAACCTGAATGTGAATAGTTATTTCTGCAACCACTATATTCAAATATATGAATGGCATAATTGGGAAGCAGCAGATTTGTCACTGCATGACTTGGTTCAATTGGAAAGGATAAATTTTAATAAATAAAAAACAAATTAGGTTAGATAATCAACTTTTGCCTTTTTAGTTACCCATTTCTTTTAATTTCAATGTTTCCTGAAAAGGATTTAAATCTTAAACATGAACCCACCAAAGTCATGATGCTGCTTATACCATGTATTACCAAGCAAAAATAATGTTCCTTCCAGAGGTGCAGATCTCATATAATTATTAGACTTTTGGATAAGAATGTAACAAAAGAAATTTTTTTGGGTCAGATGGGAATAGACCAGAACTATGGTAGACTTATGGTAGCAAAGAGGCTAATTAGACTTTAATAAACAAATTTTAAAAAAACATAAATAAAATCAAAACGAAGAAACTTTCCTGTGCTTACTTGTAGATTTAATGATACAGCTAGCTACCAAATGCATATCCATATATTGACTTTGAATATTTTTTCCTTTTTGGGATTTCACACCCTCCTCCCTCTTGCTTTATATGTGTGCAAAGGTTGGATGTTAATTTCATATCCCAAACTCTCCCTTTCATTTTGCAGTTTTTGTGCAGTGGATTTTGAGGTAGAGAGAAAAACACCTGCAGATCCGGCCATGGATTTTCTTCCATGCCATTTTAGATGTCCTATTTCCATGGAGCTTATGAAAGACCCAGTCACCATCTCCACCGGGGTTACATACGAACGTAAGAACATAGAGAAGTGGTTCTTCACCTACAAGAAGAAAACATGCCCAGCTACAATGCAAAGCATTGAGAATTTCGGTATCATCCCGAATCACACCCTCAAGAGGCTCATCGTTTCATGGCAAAGTAATGAGGATTCGAAATCTTCTTGCTCATCACCATCTTTATCTCAATCTCAACCATGTCCTTCCGCTAAACATGATGAAATACAAGCACTTCTCAGCACAATCGTGTCGTCCCCATTCAAGGTAAATTCGATAAAGAAACTCCGATCCATCATCGAGATAGATGATGAGATGAAGGATGATTTTATTCAATCTAATGGAGTCGAAGTTCTTGTCCAAATCCTTGATCAAACTATCATGGAGAGCTCAGATTTCGTGACGTTTAGGGCTTGTGAGGAGGCTCTTTCTGTTCTTCACCAACTTCCTATAACGGAAGAAGAGAAGACATTTGAGTTGTTATCGAAACAAGAATCAACCAGATCAATGGCCATCATGCTTCAGCGGGGAAGCGCTGAGGCACGGCTACATACCATTACCATATTTCGAAAGATGGCGAAAACCGAATATGATTGGAGCTTTATAGTACAAGATCAAGGTATAGATTTCTTCAAATCCTTGTTGGAGCTTGTTTCAGATGAAATATGTAGCAAAGCAAGTTCATGTGCCTTGGAAGTCTTGATTGAAATATTAAGAGCATCAAAGAAAAACAGGTTGAGGGCAATTGAAGCAGGTGCAGTTTGTGTCCTCATAGAGTTGCTGCAAGACTCCAACAGATCCAAATGTGAAAAAATGTTGCATTTGATAAAATTACTATGTGAGTGTGCTGAGGGAAGGCAGGCCTTGGTGGAGCATGGCATAGGCATTGTTGCCATTACCAAAAAGATGCTGCATGTTTCCAATGCTGCCACCAAGATTGGGGTGAAGATCATATGGTTGGTCTGTAATTTTCATCCAACTGAGAGGGTACTGGAGGAAATGTTGATGTATGGATCAGTGAAGAAGCTTCTGGCATTGTTGCACGTGGATGGCCGATCTTCTACTAAAGATAAGGTGGTGAAGATCTTCAAGATGCATGGTAATTCATGGAAACGATACCCATGTTTCCCTTATGATTTGAAGGATTATTTGGGATTTGTGAATGATTCTAGCTAATAGAGTTTTTCTTTCCTTTTTTTTCTTTTTCTTTTTTTGTATTAAATTTCAAACACACAGCAGGATACAGTTTTCTCAAGAAAATTTGAACTGGTATTTAGTATTGGGAGATTCTAAATTAATAATTTAGAATTTTATATGATTTGGATATTGGTTCGTCGGCGGTAACACTACTATTTTATTTTTTGTTCATCGGATAGAACCGAATGTGCTTCTTCTAGATATGCTGTCTAAACTTATTTCCTTCTTCTTTTCCCATTATCGGGATGGGCACACTGTATACCAGCAAGCTTTTAGAACATATTCAACTCACATAGATGCGAAATTCTATGTCTATTTGTTGTGTAATTCGAAACAGATCTCTTGATTTTGTTGTGGACAAGTTATGCCTTAATAAATCCATGAGTCATCCCATAAATAATCATAGCTTTCTAAATATCCCATCGATTGGATATTGGTTCCATCATTCAATTTCTAACAATTGAAGATTTCAGCGTTTGGATTTATATATGTCGAATTTTATAGAATTTTGTAAATGACACTATGGAAATTGTGAAATGACGCCTATTTTAGTGGAAATTAAACTTTGGAATTTGATGTCCCAATTTCCACAATTTTTTTCGCGCGTCATTTAATAAATTCCCGCTTAAGTTGCAAAACATGGGAATTGTCAATTTTTCCTCATCCAAACGGATGGTAAGGAAAAATCTCAACCGTCGGGTGGCCTCCCTCCCTACCCACCTCCCCCTCTCTTCTTCTCATCCCCTCTCATCTCCTTTGTTATTTTGTTTTGTGATGTGGAAGCAGTCGCCATGAAATAGTCATCATTGTTGGCTCACGCATACAAGGAAGATGTCAAGTTTGGGTTTAGACAATGTGGCACTATGGGTTTAGCTAGTATGGCGCTATAACTCTCTTCGAGTTGCTCTGGAGGATGTGGAGTGGTGATCCTGCTTTCAGTTTGTTTAATTAAGTCTAATAATTCTCATGAACTCTTTAGGAGATTGATGTAGTTTGTCTCTCTAGATTGTTTAATTTCTATTTAGCTTTGGTTTTAAATACGAATTTTCCATTTATGCCGTTGCGCAGTGGATCTGTATTGTAGGTTTATAGTACATGTGATTTTAATTGTTGAATAAGAGATTTTAGTCATCTTTGGGTTATGTGTACGATTTTCTCATCAATTCATCATGTTGTTGCGTTTGGGTCACTGGAGAAGATTTACCCATATTCAGCACATCGTTGCTTTGTACTTCTATTTGTTTTTCAATGAAAAACTATCGCTTATTCTAAAAATAAATTTTAAAAAAAGTTACTGTTTCATGTAACAAATAAGATGACACAGATTTTGGCTTCAAATATACGCTGGCCAAGTGACAACCATAAGTTTATTGAGGGAAAAACAAATACAAATTGAAAAGATGAATAATATTCAATCATATTAATTCGAGATGGTCACTTTTCCAATAATGGTACTCTGTCAAATTCATGTGGTAAAAGAAAAAGAGAAAAGACAGAAAATTGAGGGGTGTGATTTAAAAAGATGGTGGAATCCTTCCACCAGTCTTTATTACTAAAGAAAGAAGTCAGAAAACGATGGTACCTAATAAGTCTGTGTGAATGCTATAATTACGTTGAGTCCTGCATTGCAGTTCTGACCAGTGACCAAGACCCTACCAGTTTGAATAGGAGTTCTTACAATATAAGCACCAAACCCTAAATTAGTTGACATTTGGAGAAGATGACCAAGATTTTTTAGACAGTAATGTAAAGACTTCATTATCAAATGTGGGATATTCTCAACACGTTCCTTCTCAAACATGGCTTCTTTTGAATCTAACATGTAAACAACACATATTGAATGGGCGTGGAAGCACATACGTGGATAACATGCAGAATTGTGGTGTAGGTCAAACAGATGATTAAATATTTTCTACTATTGAAGAGGACATGAAGCTAAAGAACTTCACCTAGCCCAACTTTAAACACCTCTCTCAGTCGGGAAACTTGTAATAGTTGGTTCAAAGCTGTAGTGTTTCTTTTCTTCTCAACCACTGCTAATTATGTACTCACTCAACGCCGACCGCATATGGAACGCTACAAGGACATAAGTTGAATAAGCATAGGTGAACCAACCCAACATCAAATTAATTGACTAATTATTTGTTTACCTAAAAGATTTTTCGTCTATTTTTTTTCTTTCTAAAAGGCCTTTGGAATTTCCCACAAAACTCTAGAAATGTGGAGATAAGACATGGAATGCACGGATGATTTTAAGAAAATTTATTTACTCCCATGGATGATATTTTTTTTCAAGAACCTCTCTTATTGAAAAAGGTGCGATAACATACTAAACCCAGATACACTGTACGGATGCTAGGACTCGAACCCATGACCTTTTTTCGGGGAGCAATTGCTCCAAATCACTACACTAGTAGATCTTTCGCATTTATATTTATAACTGTAAGTAGGGAATTTTCTCTAATATTAAGCATAAATAAATAAATAAGAAAACAGATCAACCAGTCAATATAGTTGAAGTTTCTATTTGAACTGGTCATTCAAGTTTGGGCGCAGCTGCTTTCATATTAAAGTAACCATGAACTTTCGACATACACATGCTGTTGAAGAGGTTGATAGTCGGTGTGCAGAAGATGCACATCTACAATAAATGCAGGCAACTTTTCAAATATGTTTGCATTGAAATTGTATTGAACAGGATGTGTATAAAATAAAATAAGTTTTTACAAATAACACATAATCGAAGCAATTTGGGTTTCCTTTTCTGATCCAAAAATTTGAGACTGACCCCTCACTATATGAATAAAAAGAACAACAAAATGGGAAGAAAACTCTTAGTTACAAGAAAATAGTGTGACACATGAGGCTTGTAGCTCATGTAGTTAAGAGCATTTACCCATGCATCCGAAGGGTTTGTTTTGTTGTTTGGTCTCTTTGTTGTTGCTTTTCATGCTTTTGTGCTCTTTGTTGCTGCTCCACTTCTTTTCAGCCTAGTTTGTTGGGTTTCACTCTTGCATATGGGTTTTGCAGAATGTGAATTTTCTATTGAAACCCGAAAAAGGAACAAAAAAGTTGAACAAAGATTCAGAGAAAGGAAAAAGATGATGAAATTAATATCATCAAATGAATTCCTCTTTTTATACATTGTGCAGATTTGCATTTATATGCTTTAACAATGCATATACTGATTTATTTTCATCTAGAAATACGTATTACATGCCCCAATAACAAGCCTTTCGTTTTTTATTAACATGAATTAGAGTGGTGTTTTCTTATGTACCTGCTGAAGTAAGAACTTAACTAAATAGTCTGCACAAGTTACAGGGTTTGTGTACGTTGAAACACCATAATACTCAAAGCTTTGCAATGGCAGTTACAGGCAAGTTTGATCTTGCAGGAAGTTCTAATTCTTCCCATCCTTCATCATCCAACTTCGAGAAGTACCGCTCAACCATATGGTTAGTAACGAGCTCCAATTTAGAAGGCTCCCACTGAATGACGGACCAAAAGAAGGAAACCAAAAAAAATTAAAGTCCAAGTTTTAGAAATGCATAACGCTCGTATTTGTATGATTCAAACATGGGCACACGCAGATAAATATATGGGTGTGTATGTGTGTGTGTGTGAGTACAAAGATTTTATACCCTAAATTATTTGCCCTGCTGGCAGCGGAGAAAAATATATAACGGTGATTACTTGCATGGATGATCCTTGAAGGGGAACCGAAAACATACACTATAGATTGTCAACCACATTGCAGGTGGTCCCGCAATATAGTTCTTACATTTCTCCAAATGAGGATATCCTTAATAGGAAAAGACCGTGTGCATGAGTCTTGTATGTGTGTGGGCGCATTTGTGTGTGTGTGTCACAATTAAGAGAAACGTAACAAAATGCCCATTTCATTTACCTTTGGGTTCTTATCCTTGTCTAACAATATAGCTCTGCAGCCCTGAAATTAGAAGCAAGGCTTAAGTCACCCAGAAGAAAAAATAATGAACGTGGATAAGAAAATATGCGAGTAAGCTGAACCTCTCTGAAGTCCTTGCTGACTTCTCCTTTCAGAACATGGCAAACCATTCTATATTCACGAACAAGGCATTGACCAACTCCCTGAAGCCTTCCTTCTCTAATCTAAAATTGCAATATAAAAATTAATACCAAGCCTAGCAATTGTGCAAGTCACACTCTTACAACATCCTCGACATATTATGAAACTTAAATTCCTAGCATTAGGTGACATTTGTGTGCCAATAAAGACCTCCTTTTCTACTGAGGAAAAGTAAAAAGAAGTACCTAATCTTTCAATTATATACTATTTTCCCTTCACAATAGTGCATATTACATGTTAATGCAGGCCTCAAAGACCTTAGATCACCCCTACATATATTTAGGGTTGAACCATTAGTTTCCTTTCTAGTTTGAACTATTAGTCAAATTTCACTTTGCTACAAGAATTTGTCCAATCTGGCTTCTATTCAACAATAAGAAGATGATAATCATGATTAGTATCAAGCTTTGTTATACAATTACAAATTTTCAAAGCATGACTTCATATTTTTAGAATGAACTTAAGGAACCCTATACCATACCCTAAGCATAACAAGCAATCTATATCTTGCCCCACAAAAAGAGAAAAAAAAAGGGCAAAAGACACCCCCTTTCTTCTGGGGGTCATATGTCATACCATGCTTCAAACACAAACTAATCATATCATTTTGATGTGTGAGAATTAACTAACTGCAATTACAAGGCCTGCAGGAGACTTACTGATTTCAAGGAAATCTTCAAACTCATTGGAGATGCCTTCTTTAGTGCTTGAATTGTTGAAGTTAGCCAAGCATCCGCACTGTTTGTAGCCTCCTTCTCCTTCAATGGCATGCATAAGGTATGGTCAAGTAAAGTGTAAACGTTTTATCTACAACTAGAATCCTAAAAGAAAACTATTTAAGTATCGAGCCACAGGAGTAATTAACTTC